CCCACTCCTGGGCATAGGACTCCCGCTCATTTCTGAGAGCGCTTTAGGGCAAGGACTTGTTTGCCGCGTTGCCCCAATGCGTGTTGGCGAACTTCACATGTTTTGAAATATTTTTTTCTCATTTCTCATACATACAGGTTTCCTCACGATGTTTTCCTTCACCGGCGAGCACGTGGTAATTGAGCACTTAAAATTATAATTAACAATTTCATTGTTGCCGGCGGGGATCGAAACCGGTTTGCTCACGTACTGTGAAATTTACAGCGAGCGCTAACCATCTGAGCTACCACGGCTCAGATGGCTATTACGAAGTACATGTAGCTAATATTGAACGAGTCCAGAGATTTTTTCTGCGGGGTTTATGTCGTAAACATGGATTGATTCGCCAGTTGCCATCGTATAATGAAAAAGTTAATTACTTAGGGGTTACGAAATTAGACAAACTTAGACTATATTCTGAGCTTATTTACCTTTACAAAATCGTTCACTCCTCCATCGATTCAAACAGTACGAAGTACGTGTACATATAGTACCTATGATGTAAGAGTTCTTTAAAAATACGAGCTTATTTAGTAGGAATTACGTGTCTATTAGGTAGGAAGTAAGAGTTCATTCAGTAGGAAGTGAGAGTTCATTCAGTAGTAAGTGCAAGTTCATTCAGTAGGAAGTGCGTGTGCATTCAGTAGGGAGTCCGTGTTCATTCGGTAGGAAGTCCGTGTTCATTCAGTTGAAAGTCCCGAGTTCATTAATAATGACGTCTTTATTTCTCGTCACAAACTATGATTACATGATACAACAAATAATTCTACAAGCTTAAAGGAAGTGCAGTCAGATCATATCTATATTTTACAGATCACCAGGATTCTCAACCCACGGATATAGATATAACATAACAAAAGCTTAAATGAAAACACTTATGATTAGATTTCTAGTTAATAAGGAGATAAGACTTACAATTAATGTTATGAATGTGCGTGTGTATGTGAGTTTGTGTGTGTGTTTTATCTATTTTATTTACCTATTTTTCTATTTCTGTTAGTAGCAAAGAAGTCGAATGTAAGAATGTCGAAATCTTTAGCAAGGTCTTTCGCAATAACTTTCTTTTTATTGTCAAGATTAGTTACGATAAAGTAAATCAGCTTATGAACAGCATCTGAGGTCGATTTTTTGGACCTAAAACCGATTTTTTTATAGCATTGGGTGTTAATCGAGCACACAGTCCACCTGATGGTAAGTGGATGCCGTGGCCCATAGACATCCACATTTATCCTTGATTAAGGATCAAAATTCAAATGCGTTATCACCCCTGAGGACTAAGATGGAATGCCTCAATTCCAGTAAAAAAATACGAAACACAGCAGCATGAAGCTGTTATTTTACGCTGGTATTCTGTGAGCGTAGTCCTGTCCCGGTCGAGCTGACCCATTTGTGCTACAACTATATTATACAGCTATACCTATACTATATTATCTTCAAGATATTTAACTAACACCTTATTTATAATACACTCTAGGATTTTGGATATTATTAAAAGAATGGATATGGGTCTGTAATCGTCGACACAGTCGCTATCACCTCTCTTATAAATCGGGTAAATTTTTGACTTTTTAAGTGTTGTATTGAACACTCCAGTCGAAAGCGACAAGTTACTGATGTACGTTAAGAGTTTAACTAAAAGCTCTCTATTTTCTTTTAAAATTTCTGTGGAGATCATATCCAATGCAACAGCACAGTCTTTTTCAAGATTAGTTATTAATGCTCCTATCTCTTTTGCTTCAGCAGGTAGTAGTGATAATGAATGTGGGTGATTTTGAGATTTTTGGATGGTCATGAGCATTTGTTTTTTTTAAATATTTTCGGTTAAATATAAGTTGGTATATATATATATATATATATATATATATATATATATATATATATATATATATATATTTATATATTTTAACCGAAAATATTTAAAAAAAATTTGCAAAGTAATTGTTGATACTGTTTATATCTTTTAAGGGATCTTTTATATCGATCGGTTCAAAAGCGGAATCTATTGATTTTGCGGTATTTATGAATAGCTTTCCATAGTTACTTGTTGTTTTTATTTGCACATTTTAGCTATAGTTGTATTCACGTTTCAACTTTTTTATGAAGGAGGAACAAAAATTTCTGTATCTCTTGTAGATAGTTTGTAATCTATTATTGTTTAGGATCTTTTTTAGATTTTTTGAAGTTTACCTCGATTTTTTAAACTTTTTAGAATACCTGAAGTTGTCCATGGCTTTAAGTCTTTTTAGTGTAGAAGTTTTGATTGCTATATTATTACGTATAGTTATAGTATTGTGTGTTTTTATAAAGAAGTTTTTTGCCGCGTTTACATCTTCTATGAATAAGTTACTGAAGTCTATATCTGATAGACCTTTAGAAAAACTTGTATGATTTTTTTGATTTATTATTTTGGCAGGTTTATGTCGGAGCTTTATAGTATTGTAGAGAGCAACACTATTACGATCTATAAGAGATGTTGGAGCACAAGGCTACGTGCTGATAACATCGAACTACATTACTTACTTATAGAACAGACACCCCGAACCAAAAGTTTGCTTCATTTTGGTAAGAATTGGAATTAAAGTTCGCTGCAGCGCTAAAACAATAGTTACGTCGTCTAACCAAACTATTAAAACATGCAGCGCTAGTTTGCATTGGGGGTTAGTTTCTCGCAGCCAAAACGTCATAAGCGCCAGTAATTTCATGGCGCTTACTCATATCGTTCAAAGTAGTGTACATGTCGCTCCCATAGATTTTACAACTGCATAATGGCGGCGGTTGACAGCCCGATTCTCGTGAGCATCGTAACAACGCCAAATTTTTTAAATCAAAGAGTTTTAAACATTTTAATGTCTACTTACCGATGAAATGTTAAATCATCACTTTTTTGATGTTCTGGAGTATTTACTGCAGTATTTAAGAACCCAAACAGGTATTTTGAATTTGTTATTTATGCGAAGCGAACACGACTCTCCTGTACGGGCGTTGGAGACTCACTAAACAGTTGCGGTACAGTGTACCGCAACTGTTTAGTGAGTACTCGATACGTAGTAGTAATACTTCAATGGCTGATAACTAGTTGTCAGCATTACATGGTCGAGGCATGTTTTGTAGTGCGTCGGGAGTGAATAGGGTGGTAGAATACCATGATATGCCAACGTGTCAAAGTATTGGAAGGAGTATGGATCTGAATTATTTTCACAAACATCAATGTTAATGTCTCCCACTACTATAACATTCTGTAAACAAGAGTACTTTATTAACATGTTATTCAAGGACTGAATAAAGTTGCTTACATTTTTGTGTCTAGGAGGCCGATGAATAGTCAAAGATATTGTGTTATTGTCAGGTTTTATGGCCAAGCAATTAGCCTCTGATAAAATAATTGGGGTTTTTAATCATAATGTATAGGTCACTCCTACAGTACATTACAACATATTCATTTTGTGTATGATTATTATTCTAGTATGGTAGAGAGAGGTATTTTAGAATGATTATAACTATTTAAGCTTGGAATATTTGGATTCAAAGGCAACCAACACTCCGTCAACATAATACAATCCCAGCTTACGCCACTGCTAACGTTTAATGGAAGAAGACCAGCCATGTTACATTTTATACTTCACAGCACTTTGAATCCCTTTCACATATTACGTTCCTAGTCACGTATTTCCTAGTCACATATTACATTCCAGTAAAGATTTTTCCATATGAAGTTAACCAATCTTTGCAAATACTTCAGCTAATGCAGTCGTTCGGCCTTCTTTATTAAAGACTCGGCAACATAAATGTGTTTCGCAGGCTCATTCATTTTTAATGTAGTAGTATTTAGTCGTATAATTGGCGATTTATTGAAAACGGGCCAAATCAGGAGTACCCTTAACCGACAAGCATGTATGCGTAGGTATATGGATGTGAAGGAGGCGAGAGATGTGTCAGGATCGTGCCAAATGGAAGTCTGTAGTCTCTGCCTACCCCTCTGGGTGACAGGCGTGAGTGTTTATGTTATATGTTATGTTATTTAGTCGTTAATCAGCTGGTTTTTCCTTATTGTTTGCTAATGTTGATTTTATTAGGCTTCCTTTGGTAAAAGTTGAATTGGAGTCCACTACTAAGGGACCATCTTTTATTTTCAAACGGTGAATTGATGAACGCACTAATATTTTTTATTAATTCAATTAAAGTTTGCTTAGTCTCTGATTTGATTTTGTGTATGTTACGTAATTCCACTGAACAAGCTCGTGATTTTTTTTTAGTTGTTCTAATCGTGCTTCCAATGTCTTTATGTGGTTTCGATTGAAAATAGAATTCTTTTGAAATTTCTTCATATTTGACAAAATATTTTCGTATTTACACATGGTGGACTAGGGTAGAGTTTTTGCTACCGCTCTTTGGTGGTGTTTTTGCGACTGACATTATAAATTTAAGCAAAAAAATAAAAACACTAAAACTTTAAATACACCAACAATTTGCTTTGACCAACACGGTTACACGGTAGTCCACTTAAATCCGCTCTTCTCGTTATTGTAGCCAGTGCGAAATAATAATAATGTTTATGAATGTTTTGCTATTATGGGAAAACAGTATTTAGTTTGATTGCAATTAGTTTCTTACCTGGTCGTAATCTATTTATTCAGTAGGGAGTGCGCGTTCATCCAGTAGGAAGTGCGTGTTCATTCAGTAGGAACTGCTTGTTCATTCGGTAGGAAGTCTGAGTTCATTCATTAAAAAGTGCGAGTCTGCGATTTCATTCAGAAGGAAGTACGAGTTCATTCAGTAGAAAGTACGTGTTAATTCAGTATGGAGTTCGAGTTAATGCAATACAAAACATTTACTCACTTCATACTGGATGGGCCGAATTTTTAGATCGGTATAGATTTTGGCCAATCATTCTACCGAATATTTGTGTTGAGTGAAACCAATCTCTCCTCCATACGAATACAGTGAATTATATAACTCCGCAGGTGGTGACCAGCGCGCGCCGGACGGAGAGGCGCCGCCTGTCCCTGTGGAGGGCGGTGGTGGGGGAGGCAGTGGCGGTAGTGGTGGGGGTGGCGGGGGCCTGGAAGCGTTCCGCGAGGACCTGGCGGCGTTTACGCGTTACCGCGCTCTACGACCGCTCGCCACGCTCTCGTACTGCAGCGACGCCATCAACTACTCCACCATCGTGTCCACCATCGAGTTCGACAAGGACGACGAGTTCTTCGCGATCGCCGGTGTCACCAAGCGGATCAAGGTGAGTTGGTGGAATGATTACCGTTACCTTTACAGCCACTACTGAACACAGCCGTCCCCCATTGGTTGCCTCATAGGGATATTTGCCACAGTTGCCACGCTTGGCAGGCGGATCGGCAACCGCAGTTTTTTTAAGTCGTTATTAAAAAGACGCTGGTGCACATCTCCTCCTGATTTGTTTTCTTCTGTCAACAGCGGGATGATATGGGGCAGTGGATATTCTAACACTGTTACTACACAGTAATCGTACATGCATAATATGTTCCCTACAATAATAATATAAACCTTATCAAATCGAAATCAAATCAAATCATTTATTTCGCTAAAACGTGGCTACAGACGGATGGATACAGAGTCAACATTTGTTTCCACATGTTTTGTCCTTTGTGGCATGCGTAAAAATTGTGTAAAATAAATATGTTAAAAAACAAATAAAAATTAAAAAAATAAAAATAGAAATAAACACTTTCGTAAAATTTTTTTCTTAATTTATTTCCATACAGCTTATAATAAATTATGAAAATTAATAAAAATCATAACAAGCTAGAGCCTCAATACAACTTTATTGTGGTTGTGGCATGAGTGGTCGGCGAGGAAGGTCCACGCTCTCATTAAATAGCAGCTTAATGTTCCCATGGAAAACAAAAATTGTTGTTTTTTAAATAGAATAAGGGTTAAATACGCACACAGTCTGTTTGATGGTAAGTGGATGCTGTGGTCTACAGACATCTATAGTTGTGGTCACATAATTAAGAACGATTTGAAGTTCTGGAAGTTTTTTATTTAAATCTTGTTGTACACAGAGATGTGCACCTTCTGAGAAGCAACTAGTTATGTTATAAAATAGCCACATTAATACAGCAACGTGGCTTAAGAATAAGGAATAAAATCGCTAACTTTTTTTTACATTCTATTTATTTTACCAAAATAACTCATTCAAATCATACTGAAACTGGACTAATAATTAAGATCGATTTATCAAACTGCTCGGAAATTGTTTTGTATGACACTTACATTTAAAAAAATCACAATAATATGTAGCGCGGAAAATTTAAAAAGCAATTTAATACATTTTTAACTAAAATTAATAGTCAATAGCATATCTACGGCTTTTAATTACAGCTTTACACCGGCGAGGCATTGACTCTATTAATTTTTGACATTTCGCAATAGAAATAGAGTTCCATTCTTTTAAAAAAAACGTCATAAACAGCTCTCTTAAATTCCCACACTGTGTATTTGAAACCTTTTTCTTTACTTCGAACCACAGATTCTCTATTGGGTTTAGATCTGGGCTGTTAGCTGGCCAGTCTAAGACAGAAACTGATTGCGCTGTAAGAAATTCCTTTACGGTGCGTGCAGTGTGCTTTGGATCATTGTCATGCTGAAACGTCCAAATAACCGGTAGAACGTCTTCAGCATAAGGTAACATTGTTTCTTCCAGTATATTTTTGTATTGGAACTGATCCATGTTACCTTCTATCAACTTTACAGATCCAACACCATGTCCAGAAAAGCCCCAGATCCGTGCTTAATGTAACTGTCGTGTACTTAGGGTTGAATGCTGTATTCGGGGGACGTCGTACATATCGTTTTCCATCAGAACATACTCTGTTTATTTTCGTCTCGTCGCATAGTTCAGTTTCCATACTTTCTCGCAAATGCAAGCCGGCTCGCCTGTGGCAAAGTTCCAACATGGGTACCTTTCTTGTTATCCTACCGTGAGTTTTTCTTCTACCAAACGTCTTCGAATAGTGCGTGCTGAGATTGCTGAAGGGTTGTTTTCAACAAAATATTCTTTTTTCAGCTCATTGGACCCTTTAAAAGGATTTTGTTTTGCCATACGAACGATGTTTCGGTCATCTCCAGGAGCTGTTTCTCTTTTTAGGTACACGTGGAACATTCGAAGTAGTTTGATACGCAGCAAAATGCTTTACAGCGTGGAAAACCATCGTTTTTGAACATTGCAGGTGGTCGGCTATCTTTTTATAAGACCAATTCTTCCGGCGAAGTTTTATTATTACTTCCCTTGTAGATTTATCACAACTTTTATTTTTTCCCATTGTTTTTTCCTAAGAAGCAATCACTTTCAATCTTTTACAGCACTAAATGGCGCCAAAATTATACAAACAGTAACAAATCAACTGAGTGTTTGAGTTCTCTGTTTAAATTTGAATAAAGGTATAAATTATTTAGCGTTCTTAATTACGTGACCGGCTAGTAAATAGAAACACTGTTTAAAAGTAGTGTAAAAAGTTTTTGTCTATATAGTTTTAGCTAATCATGTGTATCAATAAATACAGTGGTATTATGGAAAAGTTTTACGATACCGAGAGAAATAAAAAAAATTGCATGCAATTAGTTTTGTGTTTTAGTTTGAAAAAATCTTCCCCTTATATCAGCGTTCTTAATTCCGATCCTCGATTAAGAATCAACATGCACATGCAATGTCACCCCTGAAGGCTAAGATGGAATGCCTTGCTTCCAGTCCTATTATCGCCGAATCATTGCTTAAACAAAATGTATAGGCTTGTTCAAATACTGTTTAAATAAATTCTAATTAAAGTATTGCCAAAATATATCATTAAATATTTTAAAACTATTGATGTGAAGAACTTATGGGTGATTTCCATTAAAGTTATTGCATCTGTAATAGATACAATAGCACTTTCTCTAGTCACTATTTTTAATACAAGCGTCGAATCTGGTGTGTTTCCTGATTTAATGAAACATAGTAGTTATACCTTTATTTAAATCTGCTAGTACATTAGACCCCGCCGCTTTTAGACCAATTTTTGTACTACCAATTTTAAGTAAAATTTTTGAAAAAGTTATTTTACATCATATATTAAGGTTTTCAAATATAAATAAATTGCTACATACAGATCAATTTGGTTTTACTAGGCTTATAAAACATATTTTTTGTGCATGGGAGAATTCAGAGAATGCTTTGGGTATATTTTGTGACCTTTCCAAGATCTTCGATTGTGTTCACCATGAGATGTTAATCAGGAAGCTTCAGTACTATAGTATCAAGACTGCCTTGTTTAGTCTAGCGGTTGTAGTAGTTCGACTGCTGATCATGAGGTCCTGGGTTCGAATCCCGGGTCGGGCCAAAAAATCAATTATGGAGTTTTTCTGTCAAGAAATTCTCAGTAGCTGCCCGGAGTCAGGAAGTTGGCGGTGTCTCACCCCCGTGCCTCGGAAAGCACGTAAAGCCGTTGGTCCTGCGCCTGATCTCTCTCCAGTCGTGTCGGTCGGTTTACCGTCCCATCGGATTATGAGAGTGTGGGAATAGAGAGTGCACCTGTGCTTGCGCATACACTTGGGCACTATAATCCTGTCCTGCGCCGTTGGCTAGCCTCCGCTGAGACAGGCCGCCTTGACCCGACATTATTATTATGGTGTCAAGAATACAGCGCTCAAACTAGTTATTTCATATTTCAGGAGAATGGATACAAAATTTATTTTAGAAACAGCTTGGAAGCGACCACCTCATACCCAGGGGTTATTATCTTATATTTTTAGTATCAATATTAAAAGTTTTCTGGATAGCCCATACAGATGGATGTCCCTCAGGGCTCGATTCTTGGCCCATTCCTATTTTTAATGTATATTAACGATATTACAATTACCTCTCCTTGATTTTTAAACCTTAACGTCAATCATTTAAATGTGACGAAGTGAATAATGCTGTATCAAAATTGTTTTAATATTGGTTTAACGTTAATAATCTACATTTAAACGGCAATAAAACTAAATATATTAAATTTACAATAAATGTTACAAATCGGTGTCTTTTATTTTTATGGCACGATTCTCATACGAACACACACTTATATTTGTATGTCTTTAAGACAAAACATAGCGTACTAATAATTGTAACCCTCGCAAGACCTTCAAACCTACCTATGTTTGACAAATAAACTATTCTGATTCTGAATTTCAATGTGTTTCTAAATGGGGACGGCCCCATATATCTAGAGCAAGCAGACTAAACTCTGCAGCTTATGCTGTAAAAAATATGAGAGATCTCAGAGTGTTGAGACAGCTAGATTAGTTTATTTCAGTTATTTCCATAGCATAATGTCGTATGGGATTTTGCTATGGGGGAATGCGACTGATTTAGAAACTACTTTTGTTTTGCAGAAGAGGGCCACAACAGCTATTCACAGCCTAAAACCGAGAGAGTCTCTTAAAGAAAAAATTTAAGAAATAAAATATATTAACTTTGGCCTCTCAGTATATTTACGAAAATTTAATGAATGTTCACATAACCAAAGGTTTAGTTAAAAAAAGTGATATACACTCTGTAAACACTAGGAACAAACACAAGCTATTAATACCGGTTTCTCGAGTCCACAGAGTCAGTAATTAATTTTTGTGGCAACGCTATTACAACAAAGTCCCAGAAAATATACAATGTCTATATTGCCAGGTTTAAATATTTAATGAAACAAAAACTGTATAAAAAGGGTTATTATAATATAAATAAATATGTATATGGTTGATAATAACCCCTGGGTATGAGGTTTCTTGCTGGGTCTTCCAGAGACAGAGGTTTTTTTCTGAACTAGTGGTAAAGTAAAAAATGACTGAATAAGAATTACAACATGTAATCTATATTGAATAAAAAATTATTCCATTCTATTCGGTAAAAAACGTCTTCGGTTCTCTACACTCGCCATACGAAACACAGCATTGAGCTGATATTTCATGCTGGTATTCTTTGAGCTGACCCATTCGTTCTACAACCATAATAAGTACACTCCGAATTTTGTTTATCTTCTACACTCGCTTACCTGTTTTGCATGCACCCGTGCAGGTATTCGAGTTTGAGTCCGTAGTGCGCGACGCTGTGGACGTGCACTACCCGTGCGCAGAGATGCAGTGCTCGCACAAGATCTCGTGCGTCTCGTGGAACGCGTACCACAAGAACGTGCTCGCGTCCGCCGACTACGAGGGCACCGTCGCCGTGTGGGACGCGCACACCGGCGCGCGCACCCGAGCGCTGCAGGTGTGTACATACAAACACGCACACATACACACGTACACATAAACACACACACGCGCGCGCGCACATACATACACACACGCGCGCACGCACATACATATGCACACAAGCACGCACTAGGCACACATACACACGCACGCACACAAGCACTCACACGCACTCCAACACGCATACACGCACTCACACGCATGCAAACGCATACACACGCACACATAGACACACGCGCACGCACACATACACACACGCGCACGGACGCACACGCATACACACACACACACACACACACGCGCGCCGCGCGCACACACACACACACACACACACACACACACACACATACATAAACGCACATATACATACGCACGCACGCACACTCACACGCACGCACGCACACACGTACGAACACGCGCACACACACACACACACACACGCACATAAACGCACATATACATACGCACACACGCACACTCAGACGCGCGCACACACACACACACTCACACACACACACACACACACACACACACACACACACACACACACACACACGCGCGCGCACGCACGCACGCACACGTATACACGCTGTTGCAACACCTTAAACTTCTTCTCTGCCAGTCCAACCGTGGAGTGATGAGATTTTTTGGCAGGTACAATCACATATGTGCATACAATGATATACATATAGTATACAGTCTGTACATACAGTGTAGCTCTTACATTCACTTATGGCTGTAATTATTATTTTTTAAATAAGGTGACAAATGAACGCACAGTCCATTTTTTGGTAAGTGGATGCTGTGACCCATAGACATCATCAATTATCTTCGACAAAGAAACAATATGCATATGTATTGTTACCCCTGACTCCTGAGTACTAGAATTGACTGCCTCGTATCCAGTAAAAAAGGTCTCCAGTTCTCTAAACTTACTATACGAAACACAAAAGCTGTTAGTGATGAGAGCAAAGTGGACTGTATTTATGTTTTAATCTCGGAGAAAGAAGAAACTGAAGTAACTAACTATTACTGTGATAGAGATATCTAATAGAAATTTAGATATCTATGTCACAGTATCTGAGTAAATATTTAATAGAAAGAATCATGCCCACTTTCCATACATTGATTGACCTGTCACTTGATTCCTTTAACAGGTCGCGTCTACCTACAACTACTGTTGTATAGAAACAATTATTTTTATAACAACATAATAACTTATCATCTTTTTTTCATTTGGATGAGAAAAAATGCTATTAAGTAAATAATATTTTGAGGTTATAACAGCTGTTAGATAAGGTCTGTATACTTATTTTTCTTTCTACACCATAGTATAAAACCATTAAAAATCGTATCTAATCATAAATTAATATCTAAATAATATATAAATAAGTAATAAAAAAGAAATAAGTTATTTTGAACATTCATAAACCACATGATGAATGAACAAGTTTTTCGTAGTCTGAAACGGAATGTGGAAAACACGTTTTTAATATATTTTGGCATGGCTTCTGGGCCTTCGAGCCATTGTAGAGCACGTTCCGTCTCCAAAAGTCTATTGAGAATGATAAACAAAGCAACATTACTTTTTTTCCTGGCTTTATTTGAAAATTCAATTATGCGATACGAAATAAGAAAAAAATATGCAATTTTATAAGATATTTTACATCACTAGACGCGTTAGAAAATTTTCAGGTCAATAATGGACATGATTTTTTATTGCTAATTTATTCTACTAGGGTCTAAGCTAAATTAAAGAATCTAAAAAAACTAACACTAATTTATTGCACTATTTACAAAATTGCGACAATCTTATATTCTATCACTATTCTATAGCCTAATGGAACCTAATAGGACGCTTGAGGGGTCTTCTTGCTTGTTTGTTCTTGTCTTGATCGTTGAGCTGCCGCGAATGGAAAAATCCCGACGGGAGCGCCTCTTATAATCCCGCTGCCGGAGTGACGTAAGCACCGAGTTTGTGTAAGCGCTCGACTCCGCGGGGGCCTCGTTCTGATGCGGGGTGCGGGAGACGTGTCGTAGCTGGTGAGGTACGCGGGGTGGCGGGCGGTCACTTTCTCGCAGTCCATAGCAAAACTTTGAGCTGCTATTTTACGCTGGTATTCTGTGAAAGCGTAGTCTTACCCCGGTCGAGCCGATACATCCGTGCTACAACCATAACATAACTGCCGCGTGGCTTCACCACATACAAAATGCATTTGTCAAGGTAGTCAACTTTGCTAACCCCGTTGTGATCTGTTATGATTTACTTTACAATATTTAATTAAATATTATCAGAGTGGTAGAGCCATGCTGCAGTTATATTAGTAGTATAGTTGTAGCATGAATGGGTCGGCTCGACCGGGGAAGGACCACGCTCTCGCAGAATACCAGCGTAAAATAGTAGCTTAATGCTGTTGTGTTTCGTATGGTAAGTGTACCCTTAGTGGACCCTTTTTACTGAAATAGAGCATTCCATCTTAGTCCTCACGGGTAACAACGCATCTGCATTTTGATTTGTAATCGAGGATAGATGTAGATGTCTATGGGCCGCAGCAACCACTTACCATCAGGTGGACTGTGTGCTCGTTTGTCACCCTATCCTATAAAAAAACAATATAACTGTGGTGTTACAGGAGCATGACAAGAGATGCTGGTCGGTTCACTTCAACCGTGCGGACGTGCGTTTGCTGGCATCTGGTTCTGACGACGCCAGGGTCAAGCTGTGGGCGCTCAACGCAGAGCGGTCTGTGGCCACACTCGAGGCCAAATTCAACGTGTGCTGCGTACGCTTCAACCCGAAGTCCTCGTGCCACTTGGCCTTCGGCTCGGCGGACCACTGCGTGCACTACTACGACTTACGGGCCCCCCGTGCCCCGTTGGCCGTCTTCCGAGACCACAGGAAGGCGGTCTCCTACGTCAAGTTCCTGGACTCGAGAACGCTGGTCTCCGCGTCCACGGACTCGCAGCTGAAGCTGTGGCGGGTAGAGTCGCCGAGATGTGTGCGATCTTTCACCGGACACGCGAACGAAAAGAACTTCGTGGGGTTGGCGACGGATGGAAAATACGTGGCTTGTGGGTCGGAGAACAATGCTCTCTATGTTTACTACTCGGGATTGTCGCGCCCGCTCCTCACGTACAAGTTCGAAGCGGTGCGCGGGTTCCTGGAACGTGAGAGGAGGGATGAGGAACCCTCAGAGTTTGTGTCTGCGGTCTGCTGGAGACGCTCTCCAGATCGGCCAGTGTTGCTGGCTGCGAACAGCCAGGGCACCATCAAAGTGCTCGAGCTGCTGTGAGATCCATTCGAAGACTGCCTCGGGAAAATTGCAGGATTTGTGTAGCAATTGTTGAACCATAACCCAGTCTAATCCAGTGAAGTGTCTGAAAGTATGCGCAAAGTTCAATATTACGCTGTCTTTAACATTGAAGTAAGAATCCTCAAAAACACTCAACTTATAGACAAGCCGAGATAGCAGCTCATGTCACTCAAGATATGGATAAAAATTTAAATAATGCATGTACATAAATAAAGTTACTGTGCAAGATATTTCTTTTATAGAGTAACAGTGACAAACGAGCACACAGTCCACCTGATGGTAAGTGGATGCTGTGGCTCATAGTCACCTACATTTAACTTTGATTACGAATCAAAATACAGATGTTTTTTCACCCCTGAAGACTAAGATATAAAAAGTGAACATGGTAACTTCTGATCTTTTTAAATATAGAATTATTTGTGTATAAAAAGATCAGAAGAATTAGTCCTAATAAAGATTGTTGCAATCGTGACTTGTACATAAAATTCTATAGAAGCACAATGTGTAGCTCAAATTTTAAGTGATAAGTGCCAAAATCGTGTGCGCGTGTCAGTGTCCCGCGCTAGAGAAGCGACAGAGACGCTGGTGTCTACGTCACGCGAAAATAGATTTAGTTGTGACGCGATGGTGCAATGTAAATGTTAGAGTAAGTATGTCCAATGTGTTCCATTGTCTGTGACCCAGTAAACCAACCCCTTACACACAATTGTTTCATTTTAGTGTTAAGTTCCTGTTGATTGACTCATATTTGCTAGTCAAAATGGTATGCCAGATATTAAAAATAAACATGGGTGCAGTTCACATGCGGTAGAAGTGAAATCTTCAGCAAACTTAACTTCGAGAGAGTGAGACGAATGCAGAGTATCAGGGGTAGGATAATTATAGGGTTAATGTAACTAAAATATAAATTGATTTGTAATAAACACTGTACATTACAGGGTGTTAGTATAAACACCGTTATCCTTGAAACCAGTGGTTTGGTTTCACTTATAGAACGTAAATTCAATGAAAAATAACATTTTTTTTAGTAAAATCTCAATTTTCCTTATTTCCTCAATTTTTGCCTGTCTTAAGCGAGGATGAAAGTATGAATGAAAAGTTACATCACAGGTTATGTGTACCTATTGTGGTTTTATTGGAATGTTGTGTAGGTAGCTAGCGCGGGCGGTGATCTTTACAGTGATTACGTCACTCGGGCGCATAAGGTATCCATGAATTTATGGACGGTGTCGGACAAAAACTTTTTAAATTTTATGAAAGAAAAAAAATACGTGTGGCACTCGGTAACTGCCGCGGTAAAGCTATTGCATAGTATTTTTTATCAACTTATGCAATTATAATTATTTATTTATTTTATTTATGCAGTTAAGTCTTTGATATTAAATCAAGTTAACTTTTTGAGCGTGGTGACCCGATAAGAAAACAATTTTTTTTCTTATCGGTCACCACGAGAGAATGAGAAGTTAATATTGTTTAAAATATTTTTAATATCTTACAATACATGTAGGTTATTCAGGAATTTTTATCATTGAGTTAGCAGCTAGTGTACACGCATACGTCTAGTCGCACGCACACAAACACCGTGCCGAACTCTGCCGAGTGCCGAAGTCTGCCGAACTGAAACGACGTTAGACGATGCACGGCTTTCAACGCCACACCTCCGTGCCCGTCGGAGTGGGGAGCGTGAGGTTTTTTCGTTACGGAATTTCTGGATTCGGTCCCCGCGCTCAAGGCCCGCGATAGAAGTTATGCAATAGCTTAATAACTTTTTTTTAAATTCCGATAAATATTTTTATATTAAAGGTCTGTGTTGCTTCGTAACTGCAGTCGGACCGGCAGAATCGAGGCACTCAATACCTCATAAGTTCTCGCTTACCGATTACGTCAGAAGTTGTAAAGGCCGCAGGGCCAACAATATATATTTTAAATAAAACAGTACTAAATGAAATTACTAGTAATTCACGGACGTTTTGGTTTTTATCGTCTACATTATGGAAATTACAAAGCCAATATTGAGTCTCTTTTACGATTTTAGGAAACACAGTGGGAATATAGTAGACACAAACAAATTGTAAGCGTTAAAACTCTCCCACTCGTTCAAGCAAGATAAAGTACTGCGCAGGCAACATTCAAAAGGTCATTTCCACGAGTCTTCACCGTTGTGGTTATTCTGTCAGTCGTGATAATACTTTTAGTTCATGCAACGGTGACATGGCAGAAAGGCTGCTATGTCACATCGTAGCGGGCCTTGTTGGTGTTGGCTTACATACATCATTTATTGCATTCCATGATTTTTTTCATAACTTAAAATAGTTCATAAAGTCGTCAGTCATAAAGACGTACAGTCTTTACTAAAAGTGTTTTTTTATTAATTATTTTTGAGAGTATTTATAACAGCAATTTGTTGTGGTTGCTGGTTCTTACTTAACACTGCAAATTTATTTTCAAATATACTATAAATCAAACAACTTGTACACGCAAACATGATCGGAATAGCAGGGAGGATGTGACTTCAATATAACGATCTTGTAATTGACATTTGTGTTAGGTTGTAAAATGTCAACTACTTAATATCAATAGAAGATAATTTGATATAGGGAAACTATAGGGAAATCAAATTTACTTCACAGCACACAATATATAAATAAGAAAGTGGGAATAGCGAGAGTTTACTAAAATCATGTCGTAGACTTTGTGCTAATTTAATGAATCAACATAATCTAAAAGAGATTTTTTCTTTCATTCATGCATTCATAGCCGCCTTTTAAGGTTCATTGCTGAACCTAGGCGTCTCCGCATATTGCCTTATAAGAATGGAGTATATTTGTCATAGTTTCACCTTCAGATGAGGGTTGAAACCTCTCCTTTCCAGTAATAGTAGGTAGCAGCGATGATGAGCGTGGATTCGTATTTAAAACTACCTTCTCTGAATCCGTGATTATCCAGAAGGAGGCTGTTGAGCGGGGTCTTAAGAGGTTTTGCTCAGAGACGACGTTGTTAATACGTTCATCATGGCTTTACCCTTGATGACGGTGTTCTTCTACCAGAAACGAGGTCTCTGGAAACTCACCAACACCACGGGAAAATAATAAGTGCTATATAATCAAGCAAAGCGGTGCAAAGGCCGCGATTGCTTTCCGAATGGAGATCCCGAGACCCTTATTGGTAGAAGTCCGGTATGAACTTCTCGTTGTCCCTACAGTGGAAGGTATACATGAGGATGTATCTACGATAAAAAGGCAGGTTGGCAACCGTAGTGCTTATTTTCTAATAGTTAGTTTAAATTTTCTCTTAGAATTTAAAAATAATACTAAGTAATAATGCTATTAAAATTACTCAAACATTACTAATGTTTTTTATAGGAGAGGGTGACAAACGAGCACACAATCCACCTGATGGTAAGTGGTTGCTGTGGCCCATAGACATCTACGTCTCTCCCCGATTACGAATCAAAATGCAGATAGTTGTCACCCTTGAGGACTTAGGTCCTCTCCGGTTCTCTACGGTTTTAGTGACAACGGTGTTTACACTTACACCTTGTATATTCTATCTCATTATCGTAGGCTAAATCCTATGAATGAACTGCTGCGCTGGGCATGAGCCTCGCTGAAAAAGTTATTGAGGATTCTGGCACTTTTTGGGGAATAAGAGTGGCAAGAGTTCAAACAGTCCACTGGCAAGTGGATGTGGCGATAGACATGTACATTTATCTTGCATTATGCGTAGTTACCCCTGGGGACTAAGATGACTAATGCGTTAGATTTTTTAAATTACTTTATAGAATAAAGGTGACAAATGAGCACACAGTTCATACGTGGTAGAGCCATGCTGCAGTTATATTTGTAGTTGAAAAGGAACCAAATGGTTTGTAAACGTTCAACTAAGAAACAGAAGGGAGGAATCGAGGTTTCTCTCGATCCGGCCTCCTATAACGCCTACGTTGGGTTCGGGAACAACGTATGTGATCTCCGCAACGGAGTAACACACAAGGGCGATAACCTCTTCCTTTTCAGCAAATAGGTTTAGGCGGGGATTACGGGTCTTCCGAAGTCGTCCCGGTCCCAACGCCTTAATTCTTCGACGTGGACTGTATAACTTTGTGGGATGAATTTCTTGGGAATAAAACAGCAATTATCTTCAAACCGTTCCGTGAGAGAGTAATTACTTTTCCCTATCACTTCCCTACACTTTTTCTTTCTTCTAATTGACTGCTGGTCTTGCACTTTTCCCGAAGGATTCCCGAACTTTTTTCCCGATCGAATTGCAAGAAAACTCGTTTACTGAGCTACCCCAGAGCTATACGCGAAAGTGAGCCGCGCCATTCGCGCGCTTGCGCAACTCAATTACATGAATTTGTTCTATTACTCTCTCACGTTTTACTTAATTACTTTATTTGCATAAGTCATACATCAACATAATTTACCTGTATAGATAGCACAAAACAATATCTACACTACGATATACATTACATTTTCATATCACAAAAAACCTTTTATTTATTTAACAAAATATGCCTATTTTACTCACAAGTTCAAAGTCGAAATTTCTTAAATATTTAACATAGAAAGTTAAAACAATGTTTTCCACTTGAAATTATACATAAGTTAACCAATACAACAGTTTAATTTACATTTTCTCTATTCATTTCACTATTAAAACACTTTTAAATTTCTTATACAAAACTATCATTATTTCACTTATACAAAGAATTTTCACATAAAAATAACACAGAATTCACCTTTTTAGCACGTACAATCAACCTGAAATGTTTTACAAGTCATTTTTACATAAATTACTGAAATTACAAATATTTAAATTTTTACATATTTGACCTCCTAAGGGCGTGGCTAGCGTTCGTCCGTGAACTCACACTATTTGAACAACTAACTTTGCACGGCTCTCGACTATCAGAAAAAATGAAAACGTCTAATATACACCAATATCGACAGTATTAGGTGAATAAATGCTTCTACACATTT